TCGGGAGGTCGTCAAACAGGAGTCATTCTTCCAATTCCCGGGAGTTGTCGGCCTAATTCCACAGGCAATTTTTTATTTTTTTAATTGAAAATTTGGGAGTCGTCCACCTAAACGGCGGGAGTCGGCGCCCCAAATTTGATCCTTAATTTTCTTGATTCTTTTTTTTTTTCCTTGGGAGTCGTCAGGCTAATTTCCCCAGACGGAAAGGGAGTCAATGGCCCAATCGTCCAAACTGACAACTGGGCTTTTTTTTGTCTCGCAGGAGTCATCGACAAATCCCTAGGAGTCGGTATGAATTGTACAATGAAATTGTTCACCGGCCTGATTGATATCAAAACGTGTTCCACAAACTCCACGGTGCGTTGGATCGTATCAAGGTCGATTCACCATCACCTTGTTCAAAGCCTCATTGGATGTCCATGCCTTCAACGGGTGAGGTAATGACAAATGCCTTTGAGAGGCCTGTTTGCTTTTTTTCTGACACCTTTTGCCAGACATTTCTTCCTTCTTTCTGCCCCCCCAATGACAACCCCCTTATTTTAATTGCTTTTCTACATGAATTTTCTCATTTTGTCCCCTTGCAGTTACATAACCCAAGACTGTTTGCTGCCCCTCAGCTCATGAAGGAGTGGAATGAAAAGGCGTCAGAAGAGGCTTGGGGATGAGAAGCCCAATTTTCTGATTCTTTTGAATTGACTGTAGAGAGGAAAATAGACAAAACACAACTAGGGTTTTTTTTATCCTGTGTCTTTTTGAGTTTTTGATTTTTTTCCTCTATGTCATTTTTTACCCTTTTTTTCTTCTTACTTTTCTGATCATTTTTGAATATTTTTGGCCCGTTTGTCATCTCTTTTATCTCTTGCAATGGTTTTTCTCAATCAATCTAATTTTTTTATCATTGATAAATTGCCTTTGGGGTGGGGCCTCAGTGGCTTAACCTTTTTTTGGAGTCTCTGAGGGTGCCATATGGTGACGACTCCCATTTCTAGTTGGACGACTCCCGTCTTTTTTTAATATAGAAAAAAAAAGGCAAAACATTTGGCGGAATTGGTGCGACGACTCCCTCGTATTAGGTGGACAACTCCCGTCAATTTAAATATAAAAAAGGGCAAAATATTAGGCGGAATTGGTGCACCGACCCCCGCACTTTAGGCAGACGACTCCCTATTTTTTTGATAAAAAAATAAAAATTCTCCAGGTAAAATTAGTGCAACGACTCCCTATGTTTTTTGGGGAATTGGAAGAACGACTCCCGTTCGACGACCTCCCGACCCAAACGGGAGTCTTCGACTAAAATTTGGGAGTCGTTTTTCCAAGACCCAAAAAATAAGGTAAAAAAATTAATGCAAACAATTAAGTGAAAAAAATGAAGAATTAAATGAAAAAACGGTGTCAAATGCAGTATACAAGATGTAGTTCTCATTTTGATGCAAAATGATTTTTACCATAACTTGATACATGTCTTAAAGTGTAGGAAAAAAAAATTAAAATGTCAAAAAAGAATGAAAATTAACCTGTAGAAATTTAAGTGAAAAAATGGGTCTAATTTCAGTATTAAAAATGAACCGTTGAGTTTTAAAAAAATTGGACTACACCATTAAATTCTACAAACATTAAAACCTAGGAAATAAACTTAAAATTACAAAAAAACTTGAAAAATAAGGTAAAAAAAGTAATGCATACAATTAATGGAAAAAATGAGTGGAAAAAAAAATTAATAATCAAAAGTCATTTTTATGGAAAATGGACTTACCATTAAATTCTACGCATTTTATAAACTAGGAAACAATTTTAAAAACTTAAAAAAACTTGAAAATAATGGCAAAAAAAAATTAATTAAAAAACCGTGTCAAAACACGGAAACCGCGTGCGCTGTGACGCAGCAAAACCGCGTCAAAACGCGGAAAAACCGTGTTTTTTTATTAAGGCCCTTATTAAATATAAATTATTAATTAAGATTAAATGTAAATACATATTTATTTGGGGGTTGGAAAAACGACTCCCAAAAATTCTCCAACAACTCCCATTTTGGTCAAGGGGTTGTCAGACGGGAGTTGTCTTTCCAATCCCCCCTGGGGGATTGGGAGTCGACCTCCCAATTCAATTTTATTTTTATTTATTTTTTTTGGGTGGGAGCCGGCACCCAAAACCCTCCTTGGCAAGCGGGAGGTTTGGGAGTCACCTGCCTCCCACTGGCCGGAAGGGATTCCCTCTGGTCATAAAGACTGTACAGTATTGATGACCGGAAGGAATCCCTTCCGGTCACCAAGACCATACAATCTTGACGTCCGGAAGGGGTTGCGGGTCTCGATGACCGAAAGTGATTCTTTCCGGTGTGGTAAGACCAATCAAAACCTGTTACACCTTTTTACCACCTTTCTGGACCATTTTTACACCTTCTACATATCATAACAACCATCAAATCAACATCCTACATATGTAATACACTCAAGGTCACCTCCAATCATCCCAAAGACAATACCATCAGCTCCACCAGACTCAACAACCCATCAGTAACACTCTACATGGATCACCAGCCACACTTGGTAATAAAATAAGTACAAATCAGGTAAAAAGTGGGAGAAATTCCACCAGCAGAGAGAGCCAGACTATTAGTAAAGACCCCTGTTCTTCATCAGCTTGGTTTCTCTTTATTACATACCATGGCAAATTGTTACAGTATCCACATATGTCATGTTTCCATCCCTGTTTCTTCAGCCTTGTTTCACCCTTGTCACACATGCCATTACCAAGCCTGTCTCCCAAGCCATGTTGTTGCCTTGTTACATGTACCCTGTGATGATGCCTTGCTCCTTGTTTTCTTATTCCCCCCCAGAAGACTTATATGTAGCAACGGTGGGCCGCTACACTAACCGTAGCGGTTAGTGTAGCGTAACGCAGCGGAATCGCTGTTAGCGATTAGCGTAGCGTAGCGGAATTCCGCCACGACACCGCTAACGCTACGCGTGTGGGCCACAAAAAAGGGCCCACTACGCTGCGCTACAGCGGTTTTTAGCGGTTTTTTGCCGCTTTTTCCGCTAAAAGCGCTGTAGCGCAGCGTAGCGTAGCGAAAAACCGCTAAAAAACCGCTAACACTACGGTTTTTTGACAAAAAAAAAGCGCCGCTACGCTACGCTTTTTGGGCCAAAAGCGTAGCGTAGCGTAGCGGCCCACCGCTGTATGTAGTGCTCTCTTGGCCTGGTCATTGATTTAGCATTACTTACTTGGAATATATTTAGCATTACAGAATTAAGACATTTCACACAGAATTATTATCCTCATACCTTACCCTTTACAAATCTTACATCTTCATTTAGCCACACCTTTCTTTAAGAGTCCATACTCTTATTTATTGTTCTTCTTACTCTCCCAGTAACCAGAGAGGCAGCCCTTCAAGCTCTCATCCCTCTCTAAGCTCTATTCCCACCAAAGAGTAGTTCCACACCGGTCATCGAGATTGTACAGTCTCAATGACCGGAAGGGATTCCTTCCGGTCATCAAAGGTCATCAAGACCATTCAATGACCGGAAGGACCCCTTCCGGTCATCAACACCATTCAAATTTTGATGACCGGAAGGAATCCCTTCTGGTCATCGAGACCATTCAAATTTTGATGACCGGAAGGAATCCCTTCCGGTCATCAAGATCATTCGATTACTGGAAGGGATTCCTTCAGGTCATCAAGACCATTTGATGACTGGAAGGGATTCCTTCTGGTCATCAAGACCATTTGATGACCGGAAGGGATTCCTTCCGGCCATCAAGACCATTTGATGACCGGAAGGGATTCCTTCCAGTCATTGAGACCATTTGATGACTGGAAGGAATCCCTTCCGTCATTGGGACCATACAATCTCAATGGCCGGAAGGAATTCCTTCCGGTCATTGAGACTGTACAGTCTCATTGACCGGAGGGAATCCCTTCCAGCCATTGGGAGGGAGGCGACTCCCAAGACTTGGCGCCAACTCCCACCCAAAAAAATAAAAATAAATAAAATTGAATTGGGAGGTCGACTCCCGATCCCCCAGGGGGGATTGGAAAGACGACTCCCGTCCAACAACCCCTCGACCAAAATGGGAGTTGTTGGAGAATTTTTGGGAGTCGTTTTTCCGACCCCCTATTTATTTACTTATTATTCTAACAACAACGTGTAATATTTTCTTGTATTCATTTAATTATTACTATTTGCAGTTACTAGGTACATTTCACGTACTGTGAAAGGTACTCTGTGGCTGAGAAATTATGTACGTAAGTACTTATCCATAATGTTGATTACCTTTACCTCTTGTTATCTTATCATTATTATTATCTTATCTTAATTTATCTTATAATATTTTATCTTATCTTTATTGATTACCTATAAGCTCAAATATTATATATATTATCATTTAATTACTTATCCATTTTATACATATCTGTTTTATACATAAATAATGGGTTGCTGTAATTTTACAAACTATATTTTACAAGACATATGTCTTGTAAATCAGATGGTTTGTAAAATTACATTTTTATGGGGGTAATGTATAATTTTACAAACCATCATGTAAGGACTCTGTTAGTCCTTCACTGGATGAAGGGGAAAGGACACGGAGACGGGCTAATGAGCCGAAGAATTCTAAGACCAAACTGTGGGGGGATTTGTATTTCTGGCTCAGAGAGAGGTTGGGATCAGATCTCTCATACAACATCACATGAAAGGAGAACAAAAGCAAACAGAATGAAGAATAGAAATTGGGACTCACCTGGCTCAGAGAGAGGTTGGGATCAGATCTCTGCTGAGCCAGGAAAGGAACAATAGCCCGGGATAACTATGAGAAAGGAGAAATGAATGTGAAACCCTTGTGAACCCTGACAGAGGAGGGAGGGGGTTTACAGTCTCCCCTCCTATAAAAAATTGAAGAAGGAAATAAAATAAAAAAAAGGAAAATGAAAGAAGAATGAGATGGAATATAAAAGGGGGACAACAAGGGCAAATCATTTGGAGAAGATGGGGTCCCTATTGGCCAGCAATGCGGTCCGCTAAATCAGCTTGTGTGACTTTCTCGATCTCATTCAAGAGGAGTTGGTTGTCTAGATCTTCCAGTGCAGCCACGGCTGCCGCGTCAAGGCTAGGAAAGCAGCCTTCGTCGTCAAATTGGTCTCCAAATCGGTTGTCTTCTCTGATTGCCGCATCAAGTGTCAGAGCCGAGACCTGGGCCTCAAGGGGTGAACTTGCTGAAATACCCGCCACAGACGCGGCCCGAACTGTAGGGCGCCCAGCAGGGGGATTAGTCGGTTTGCCTGGAGCGGGGACTTCCTTGCTCCAAGCGCGGGGGGCGACGTAATTTAGTGGTTTGGGGGGAGTCTGATAGTTGGCTGGAATATCGACATGGGCTCGGTTGATTGGTCCAGGACATGTGCCGTTCGCGTTGCCGCAATGCTTCTTGCAGAAATGGCATAGACCTTGCGAGTCTAAAAATGAGTGTACCCGCCATATAAACTCGTCCCGGCTGAGAGTTGGCGGTGCCGATGATGCTGCTCTAGTCGGGGCAGACGGTTCCGCAGGGCGTTGAAAAGTGAGGAACGACGCGTTTGCTTGTTTCTCAAACGGGCCGTAATTGAATGGGGTCACCTCCAGCAGTTGTTGTTTGTTGATCCGATCTTGCAGGGCATCCGGTAAGCCGTAGACTACAAATTGGGCTAATTGCAGGTCCCCAAGCTTGGAGGTTTTCTCGGCGTCAAAGTTGAAGAGGCTTTGTACCGTCCGGGCTCTTGTGCTGTATTTGAGGAAGGTTTCGTTGGGGGCCATGTCAAGCTTGCGAATTTGGAGTTGTAATCCCGAACGCCAGTTTGTGGGAAGTGCGAAGTCAAACATCCGAGTTTTGAATTCATCCCACGATCTGGTGAGGAATCCCGCCGCTTCGTTTGCGTAGAATGATTGCAAGTTAGTTTCCGCTATGAGGTTGCCCAGTATCTTAATTTTGTCAGCTGCATTGGAAACATCCTTTGTTTCGAAGAAGATCTGGACCCCGTGAATCCATCTTAGGAACAATTCGGTTTCCTGGAAGGGGCCGCGGTATGTAGGCCCATCTGAAGTGCGGAATTTTTGAAGATCGACTCGGCCTGGTGCCGTTTGAACTGGTTTAGCGTTGTAAGGATGCAATTTGATCCTTCACCGTCGGACGAGTAAATTCTAGAAACAAAGCCAATGCTTTGTTGAGACCAATTCTAGAACCACTGTGTGTTTTATTTCTAGCTCAGTAGTAAGAAGTCAGTGGGTCTCTACTGAATAATAATAAACAACAAGAGTAATAATAAGAAAGAATTATGAAATGAAATCACTCACCTAGCTCAGTAGTAAGAAGTCAGTGGGTCTCTACTGAGCTAGGAGGGGAATGGGGAGAAAGGAACTAAGTACCGTAGAATTTATGATTATGTAATAATGTGTGAACCTCTTGTGAAACCTGTACTGGGTGTAGGTTTCACAGTCTCCCCCCCTATATAAAGATTAAGCCCTCCCCCTTACTAAGATCCTAAGAGAAATGGAGAGATAAAATAGAAGACAGAAAAAGGAAATGTGAAAAAAAAAAAAATTATGAAAATAACACTGATGTAGGGAATTTGAAAATTTTGAGAGGGGAGATTCAGAAGGGAAATGAGACAAGGAATCAAGAAAGGACAATAAGACAGAGAAAGCTAGTAGAATTGAGAAATCAATGAGGGCATTGAAAGAAGGATGAATGGTGTTGAGCATGTTTGTTGGTGGGATTCAGAGAAGTGATGATCGGGGTTGTCCTCGGTGTGCCTTTGGGAAGACTGTAACAGACGGTTGTTATGTGCTCACGGCGTGGCCAGGGTAATGTTTTGACAGGTTTTTTGGATGGTAGTAACACTTGGAGGTGCATCTATTGGGAGGAACTTACTTCTGTGCTTTCCACATTTGCAACCTCTCCTCTCTCAATGTACGGCTTCACTTTTGAGATGTGCATTGTGGGATGTCGGCGGTCGCCCTCAGGGAGGTCCAGTTCAACGCTCTGTCCATGATTAAAAACTCGCAATACTTTATATGGTCCTTCAAACCGCTCCTTGAGTTTATCCACTCCGCCCTTGTGTTTGCCCCACCAATCTGCCGAGTTGAGGAGAATCCAGGTGTCAGCCTGCTACTAATCAGAGCCAGCCTGAACAAAGCATTTTACATATAAATTAGAGATATTATTACTTATATATGTACATACATTTAAAATAATAAAAATATACTATTTAAATAAGTGGAAGCACTATAATAGAGACATTATTACATAGTACACTTACATTGTAATATTTTAAGAGAAAAACATTTAAATAATTAAATAAATACTGGAAAATAACATTTTTAACCAGAATCTCCTAATAACTTCTGAACCTTAAGCATAACTCAGAATATTATTGCAGATTCTGAATCTACATGCAAAATAACCTAGGGTAGCTCACCAAGTGTACCCCTGAATTATTACTCCTTCACTTACTTTGTAGTCCTTGAGTGATATTGGACCAAAATACACTGTAGACCCCTCCAGTTACATCATACTACATGTTGTAAGGGGGCTACATGTGTAATTAAGGTTCATGCAGTTCGGGAAAAATCTACAAACAAGGTTTACATCATTGAAACCTTAACTACATGAGCACAGACTACAGTATTGAATTGTTTGGGATGATCTGTGGCCCTTTTTGGCCCAATTGGGACAATTACTCTCTTGAAGATCAACCCATGCATCATGCAGTGCTTACATAGGCTGCAGGAGTGTTACAGTTTCGTCAGAACACCCTGTAAACATGGTTACAAGCATTACATCATCTCCTTGGCACCTGTAACCAAGCTCTACAGGTGCTACAGATGATCAAAAGCTCCCATAGGCTTAGTAGGAGAGTTGTAGCAACTAGAGAGACTCCTGAGTTCGCCTCCAGAGGCCCAGAATGGGTACTTAAGAGCCCCTTCTTCCCCCTGAACCTTGTTTCCCCATCTTCATCATTACTTACCAGCATAAACCGTCACCAACACCCAGTATCAACCTGCCTTTTGGCCCTGTTCCTGCTGTTTGTAACCTGAACTTCAACCTTTCAACCCAACACCTGTTCCCCAGCACTCTCAACACCTCTCACCCACCTTTCTGAGCGCCTCAAGAACAGTCCCCCCTCTCCTGAAGACCTCCTTGGATTAGAGATAAGTACCAGTAAGTATTATCTCTTTTATTCTTCAGTAGTAGACTTTTTCTGGGTTTACTCCTTTATTACAAAGGACCAGAACTTCAGTACCACCCCTGCAACTCAGGACCTGAATTAGAGGGCACAGTAAAAAACCCCTGCAACTCAGGCCCCTCTGTAAATAAAAACTTAACAGTTTTTATTTACTATTTTCTTTTATTTCACACAAACTTCCCCCACTTTTCACGTGTCACCCACACGTGTACACATCCCATTTTCACTCTTGCAGCTAGTGTAGCTAGAAGAGTTCTGCTCTTGGCATCACTTAGCCTGACAATTGGGGGTCTGGCCGGGAAAAATCTTTATTTTTTGATACAAACCCTGGCCTTATTTTTTCTACTAAAAAATAAATAAAACCTATAAAAAACATTTATTTTTTCCCACTTTTTTCGAAATTTTTTCCACTAAAACACCAAACCAATAAAAACATATTATAAAACATAAAAATTCATAAAAATATATCTTTTTACTAAATACATTTTTTTTACTTTTTCCTTTTAGTGGAATTGGAAAAAACCGCTAAACTAATTCAATACTATCTTACTCTCCTTGCGTCTGAAAAAGCACAGCGCGCAGCCGACTATCAACCCTCAGACTGGGAGTTACTTACCCCAGAAGAACAACGCGCTCGAGCTCTTCGACGCGTAGAGATTAGTGAAAACGAAAGAGTCGCCAACCTGCTTCTCTGGAATTCAGTCAAACGAGATCATAAGAACAAGCGCCGTAAACTTTTAGCTGAACTCAGAAACAAAAGATTAGCCAAGAGTACGCGCTTATCCTTTTTTCATAACATCTCCTAGCTGAATCTACATCGAGAAGAACCCTCATTGATCCTTTCTCTTCCGCAAACAGTGTCCGCTACTTCTAACTCCAGCGCTGCAACTACCCCAGCCGCCGGAACTACTCCTATCGCGGAAACTGCTGCTAACAGTCCTAACACGGGTTAGCTCCTTTGTCCTACATATTCCTTTTTCGCCCGACAACTAAATAATTAACTAACAAGCGAATAAACCATGTCCACCAGGTCGAACAATCCAGACCTCCACGGCCCCTTACCCCCAGCCACTCGACCGCGGCGCGGCCAATCAGCTGGAGGAGCGCGTGAACCGCTTGAAGCTGATCACCATCCAGAAAAAGATGGCGCCAGTGACGGTCGAGAGACCGACAGAGGCGACGTTGGCCGAGAACGGCTCAACTCCGGCCGTCGAGACTCCAGCCACGGCTCGAGCAACTCAAGTCATGGCGAGTACCGCCAAGAAATCAGCGGAGAAAGCCGCGGACGCGATGGATATAGATCCACAAGCGTCGAGCTTCTCGGCGGATACCCAGTTACGCCCCAAATCCCCGGACGTACGTGTTCTCTCGAAGGAAGAGAGGATCCAGCTCCTCGTCAAAGAACACGTAGCCCTTTGGAAGAGGTTCCTAGTGGATCAACCCTTAGGCGCTTTGGAGGGCAACAGAGCACTCCTAACTCAAGCGCAAGACAGTCAGCGCGCTCTCCAGAAATTGATACCTCGAGCGGAGGTCGAGGAATACGTCAAGGGTTGGAACCCTTGGACCGAGAAGAAAAACCTCTTCCCAGTTCTTCAACAGGAAAGAAGCGGGAAGAACAGGAGCTCCTCCTCCCGATCCAATTCCTACAAGGCGCCCAAGATGAACGACCCGCGTCGTTGGAAAAGGCTCATGAAGGCCTGCCACACCCTCGAGTCGGGTTACATGAACATGGAGGATTAGATCTTAAAATCCTCACCGCCATTCTAGATAGTCTAGATCTTGTAAATAAGAATCTTTCGGCGATTGATAGCAACGCCGAAAGCAATTTTAAATCAATTGTAAATAGTTTTGATTTGAATACTAGGAAAAATAAAAAAGCGTCTGATTCTTTGTCTGTAAAATTTGATAACATGCTCCGCAATCCATTGTCCATAAACCCTGAGGCTACCAAGCTGATAGCTGAGAATACCGCTAAAAGCCAATTAGCCTGTTCCAAATTGACCACCGCAGTTGATAACTTGAACAATGAATTAACTTCTACAGCGGACTACATATTATCTAAGATGAGAGAAGATGCTCTTCTTGCTAAGAGCGCTAACAATAAAGAATTAGATATGATCAAAGACCTGCTAATTCAACAGAATATAAGATCTGAAGGCATTCAAAATACCTTGAATGAACAAATGACCACTCTTAGACAAGAAATGAGAACTGAAATTCAAAACAATGTCCATAGTATATCAGAATTAATTAAAGAAGGCTTCTCTAAACACGCTTCTGAGACTCTAGCAACTGCCTTCAAAAATAATGAGCCAAGGTTTAATAATCCTTATATGGAAGAGAAAAATGTGCGCTATGATAAAGAAGCTGCCCCTCACTTCCCAACTACTCAGGGAAAATCTTCACAAACATTTTATAAGAATACCCCAGAGAAGCCTCAATCCCAGTACTACACTATGGATTTAGCAACTTTAAATAAAATGATACCACCATTAAAAGACTGGCCTACCTTCAATGGAAAAGGTGATTATGATCATATCAGCTTTATTAAATATTTAGATCATATACTAAGGACTTACAATGCCCCAGATGAATTAGTCACAGTCAGACTTCCAGGATTATTTCTAGGAGGTGCCCTAGAATGGTTTATTGAAAAAACTGAATCCCTAGGAGCACAATCTTGGGATACTTGGAAAGAGTTAATTAAAATCAAATATGGTACTAGACTTTGGGAAAAGAAAATGCGTAGACTATTTGAGACAAATTACTTTGACCCTATTAAAGATGACCCTCATGACTGGTGTATTGCCCAAAAGAAAAGAATTGATTGTATTTACAGTAATCAAACAAGAATATTGGTCAATGATAAACTTCTCAGTCAATGTAGAGGAAGTATGGAACATGCTGTTAGATGTAGACTCAAAGACATGGATGTAGATATCTCTGAGCTTATTGAAGTTATGGAAGAAGTTGTTGAAATGATGGGTTTGAACAGGAAAAATAAAACTCCCAATACTAACCCCAAAGATGAGAAGACCGGCGGTAATACCAATAAGGCTTCAGACAGCTTTGCCAGGATGGATAACTCCCATAAGAGATCTGATCAAGCTCCCAGAAAGACAGACATACCTGAATGTTATAATTGTGGAGAAAAGGGCCATAAAAGACCTGAGTGCCCAAATCCCAGGAAAAAAATCAATAATATTCAAGCAGACCCTGACAGTGATGAAGAAGTTTCTTCCAGGTTTGATATGATCCAAGTAGAACCTGATAACTCTGATTTTCATACCAATCAACGTAGAGATGATTCTGAATATGAATCTGATTCCAGAATTCAAGTCATTCAAGCTGACATAGGGGATGAGTTAGAAATTAATACCATTCATGGTGACTCTAATTTACCCCAGAAATGGGACTCTTCTATGGAAATTGGCCACATCTCTGATGCCAAGCTTCTTTCAAATAAACCTGAAGCTGGCATGAGTTACACCATGGGTAAGACTAGTTACACTACAGTCATGTTCCAAGGGAAAGAATGGAAAGCCCTTTTAGACATTGGAGCCTTCTGTTCTTGCACTAGTAGTGATTTTCTTGATTTATGTTACCCTGAATGGAGAAACTACCTGTTACCTGTCCCCAAGGCTAAATTTAGTAGTTGTAATTCCTCCATGAAACCTCTAGGAGTAATTAGCATGCCATTGATATTTCCTCACTCCAAAGGATCATTAAGGCTTAATGTGGAATTTGTTGTGTTACAAGATGCCTTATGTGAATACTTTATTCTAGGAAATGACACCTTTTGCCTGTATGGAATTGATATTTTTCAGAGTAAAAATAGATACTACACCATTGGTGGAGATTGGAAAAGGAAATTCCAAATATGCAATATAAATATTAAAATTCCTGAGCCAATTAACCAAGTATCTTGTCTTACACAGGAAGTCATCAACTTTGATAAAGAATACTTATCACAAGCAGCTGTGAGTGACATTTTGAATAAGGATCAGAAACAAGATGTCCTAAAAATTTGTCATAAATACAAAGAGGCTTTTTGCACCACTGAAGAGCCCATAGGAAATGTGACAGGACATAATATCAAATTAGAATTGACTTGTCAACCTCCTTATCCTCCTGCTCTTAGAAGAGCCCCTTACCCTTCTAGCCCAAAATCCAGGTTAGCATTGGAAACCCATATCAAAGAACTTTTGGATTTAAAAGTTATTAGGAAGGTGGGCCATAATGAGCAAGTTGAAATTACTACTCCTGTCATTATTGCTTGGCATAATGATAAGTCCAGGATGGTGGGGGATTTTAGAGCTTTGAATAATTACACAAAAGCTGATAATTACCCCATCCCCAGGATTGATCACTCTCTACATAACCTTTCTAAAGCCAAGTATATTACTACTATGGATGTTCTCAAAGGTTTTCACCAGATACCTATTGAACCAGTAAGTAGGAAATATATGCGTATCATTTGCCATTTGGGTGTCTATGAATACTTGAGGATGCCTTTTGGTATTAAAAATGCTCCTTCCCATTTCCAAAGAATGATGGACTCTATATTTGGGAAATTTATCCGCCAGAATTGGATGATGGTGTACATAGATGACATTATTATTTATTCTGATGATTGGGATACTCATTTAGAGAAGATTGGACTTGTTTTGGAAATGGCAGTCTCATCTGGTCTCAAAATGTCTATCAAGAAATGTCATTTTGGGTATGGAGAACTCAAAGCTTTGGGCAGAATAGTTTCTGGCTTGACTCTTGCTATTGATCAACATAGAGTAGCAGCAGTATTGCTAAAAGATATGCCTCAGAATATTACTGAAATGCAATCATTTCTAGGATTTTGTAGTTATTATAGGCAACATATCCCTAGTTTTGCCAGTATTACTCATAGCCTTTATGAAATTTGTAGTAAAAATGTAATATTTGAGATGACCCATTCCCGTGTACAAGATTATGAGAAACTTGAACATTTGATGACTACTGCTCCAGTCTTGGCCCAACCTGATTACACCAAGCCATTTATTTTGTACATAGATGCTTGTTTGGATGGATTGGGGGCTGCCTTACACCAAGAATTCCAGATTGATGACAAACCTGTAGAGAAACCAGTTTTATTTATCTCCAGGCAAATCAAATCTAGTGAAAGGAAATATGGAGCTAGCCAGATGGAGTGCTTAGCTTTGGTTTGGTCTTTGGATAAATTGCACTATTATCTAGAAGGCACTAAAGTTGTAGTGGTCACAGATTGTACAGCTGTGAAAACTCTCATGAACATGAAAACCCCTAACAGACATATGCTCAGGTGGCAGATTTCTATCCAACAGTATAGGGGACATATGACAATTGTTCATAAAGCTGGAATCAAGCATAGAAATGCTGATGGACTTAGTAGGTGGGCCTTGCCTAACACTCCTGATAACCCTGCCTGGGATCCAGAGGATGAAGACATTTTTCCCATTTTGGGTATTCATGTGTGTGACTTAGACATTGCCTTCTACAATTTAGTCCAAGACAGCTATAAGGACCATATAGAATTGCTTAAACTAGTGGATATATTGAAAAATGAGAACAGTTCACCTGAATTGATTGCCAGTCTACCCCCAAACTTGGCCAAGCCATATGCTGAAGGAAGATTTACACTTCTGGATGGTTTGTTATATTTCAGGAATAGGCACTCTAGTGTTCTAGTACTCTGTGATCAAGCCCAGATAGATAATATCTTGTATGAATGCCATGATAATGTCAACTCTGGTCATGTTTCTGAAGACAGAACAGTAGAAAGAATTAAGCATACTGCTTGGTGGATAGACTGGAGGTCTCAAGTAGCTGACTATGTCAAATCTTGTGAGGTTTGTCAGAAGTCAAATAAGCAGACTGGTAAGAGATATGGCTTACTTCAGAAAATTACTGAACCCACTACTAAATGGGAAATAATTAACATGGACTTTGTGACTGGCCTTCCCCCTGGAGGAGCTTATTCTTATAACTCAGTCCTAGTGGTTGTAGACAGATATTCCAAAAGGGCTAGGTTTATCCCTAATCATAAGGATGATACTGCTATGGAAGTAGCCATGATATTCTGGAATAGGATAATGGCAGATGTAGGCATTCCCAAAATTATAATCAGTGATAGAGACCCCAAATTTACCTCTGAATTTTGGAGAAATCTTCATGATATGTTGGGTACAAAATTAGCCTTTTCTACAGCTTACCACCCCCAAACTGATGGTTTGGCTGAAAGAATGATCCAGACATTAGAGGACATGCTGCGCAGGTTTTGTGCATTTGGGCTTGAGTTCAAAAACCATGATGGATATACTCATGATTGGGTTAGCCTTTTACCTGCTTTGGAAATTGCTTACAACAGCAGCAAGCATTCTTCTTCTAATGAAATACCTTTTGTTCTTGAAAGAGGCTGGATACCTAGGATGCCTAAAGATACCCTGAATGATAAATTACCCCATATTCATCCTACAGCTCTTGACTTTAAGAAGATGCTAGATGTTACCCATAAACATGCTCAGAAGTGTGTTGAGGATGCAGTGGAGTATAATAAGAACAGATGGGACAAAAGCCATAAGCAGCCTGATTTTAAAATTGGTGATAAAGTTCTCTTGTCTACCATCAATTTTAATAATTTAGGTGGTAACAAGAAGCTTAAACCATCTTTTGTAGGTCCTTTTACTATCAAAGATTTGCATGGAAAGAATGCAGTAGAGGTCATT